ATTTTCCGTTAAAGAATATTAAATTTAATTTTTTTAATTATAATTTTACAGTGTTGAGCATAATCTTGTATGTCTTTACAATTTAAAAACTCCTTGAAAAAGTTTTTTTTCTTCAATAACGGACCCTATTTGCACAAATTCATAAAAGCGGACCCTGGTTGAAAGAATGTAATTTTTTCACAATTTCACGAAAAACGGACCTTTTACAAAATGTCTGGACAGACCCATGAAGATAACATCAGCGTTAATTTATAGCTCTATTTGAACAAAAAAAATAGTTTATGGCGCACATTTAAATATTTAATTATTTTATATTCACTGTGCCAAAGACATGCAATCGTTATTTTGATCCTTTGCATAGGATCAAATAGGACCCTTGCTTTCAATGGTTTTAGCATTGACTAAAAGTATTTTTTGAATAAAAATTACCATATGAACTTTACGATAGTTTCTAATTGAATTTTGTAACTAAATTAAGTACATTCCAAACCATTAAATTAATTACTACTGAAAAAGTGATTACAGTCTCTAATAATTGAAATAAAGTCACAAACAATAAATTAAGTGCAGGGATTATTAAATTAGTAAGAACACTAATATATAATTATTAAACTTCTATCGCAAATAATGAAAGTTGTAAAGATGTAACTAAATTAAGTACACTCCAAACCATTAAATTAATTACTACTGAAAAAGTGAGTACAGTCTCTAATAATTTAATTAAAGTCACAAACAATAAATTAAGTGCAGGGATTATTAAATTAAGAACACTAAAAAATAATTATTAAACTTCTATCGCAAATAATGAAAGTTGTAAAGATTAAATAACATTTAAAAATATAATTTAAAATTACTTCTAGGTGTAATGAGTTTAATTTAAAGTATGTTTTATACTATCAAAACTATGTATTTGTAACAGTTCCAATACTAATTCAGCAATAATTCATTTTGTTGATTGGAAGATAAAGAAACAGTAACTAATCCTTTATCAGTGGGAAAACGTTTTGAATTTCCCTTTCTCAACTACTAGCTTTCACTACTTTTGACATTGAGAAGACTGGTTTTTCTCAAGTGTTCAAGTGAAAGTAATTTTTAAAAAAATTCAGATGATTCTTTTAAAATACCGTGTTATTCTAAATTGAAAGTTTTGAACAACCAAAGAGAAAAAAATTAAGGAATATCAGGACAAAATGCTACAAATTATAAATCAGGACAAAAAAGGACATATTTTTAATCAGGAAAATCACAAATATCAGGGCAACTACAAACCCTGATGAGGGAGAGCAGGAATTCTTTTCAATGAATCCCGCTCACTGTACACGAATGTATACAAGTGAGTAGCATTGCCATTGCAAAAAAAAAAAAAAAAAAAAAAAACACTATAAAAAAAAAGAAAAAAATAAGCATTTTTCACAAATTTAATTAGCATGAGTAGTCAAATCTCTCAACAAAAAATAAGCACCTTTAAAGTACTTTCCAAGCACTCTAAACATATTTTTAAGCACTATATACATTAACAAAATGCAAAATAATTTTCAAAGAATTTACATCATCATGATAAAATAACTAGTCCCTGACAAAGAAATATTTTCTTGATTACATTAGCCACCATAAAAAGATACAGACCGAAGGCACGCTGAAATGGATTGTAGTTGAATATAACAATGGGAAAACCAGGCGTTTTTCTAATACGCAACAAAAATCGTCATGGTAAAGAAAAAAAATATCATTTTTGAAAAGGGAAAATTAATCACTTTTTAAAAACACCCTTTGAAAAAACCACCTTTAAGGGCTCTTAAAGAACCCAAAATAAAAAATAAGGACCTTTAAGCACTTTTTAAAAACGCTACACAAAATGAATGTGTTTGTATGAAATGCGTATCTAGTGCTCAGTGTATGTAAATGAGTAATTCATTGTCATTGACAATTGTCATCGCAAAAAAAAGGGTTTTAAAAAAAATAATAAATAAAAATAAAAATATTTTTAATAAACTTAATGAAAATTAACACCTTTAAGGGTTTTAAAAACAATAATAATTACCTTTAAGTATTTTTTTAAAAATGCTACATACACTGTTTTTTAGCAATATTTTTTTTTAAAGCTTGACAAAAAATTGGTCTCCCCCCCCCACGGATCTCTCTGAATTCTCCCCGAAAATCGTCTATATGATCAAGCATATTCTGCACTACTGTAGGCAAGAGTTTACATAATTTTTGGTCATGCTCACTATGTTTTTAAAAGTAAAAAAATCCATACCTCTGAAGGCCGTATTTTAACTTAACTGCAGTGTCATAATCTGGAGCTTGTCTATAGAGCGGTAAAACTGAGGACACAGGTTTCGTATCAGTCTCCTGGATGCTGGCTAAGCTGCGATGAATGGATGCATCAGACGAAGACGCGCGTCGGAGGGCCGACTGTGAATAAATCGAGTGAGCAGAATCTCCATTTGTAGATGAAATGCAAGAGTTACTGTTGCGTGCAGATATGGGAGGTGGGTGGGAAGAGAGAACCTTGCAAGAAGTGTTATCAGGCTGCTGATTGGACATTGTTTGAACATTTTCATTAAAAGGTTGATCAGTGTGATAGACACCTAATCCATCTGTAACAATAGTAAGGTGAAAATTACTTATTTCTAATAAAGCCAATCATCTATGAATTAAGGACCTTTTGTTAAACAACTTAGAAAGACAGTTTACCACAGTCTGTATTCTAAAAAATCCTTTCAAAATGCAAAATATACCTCTAAAAATAAAAATAAATTTATAACAACATCCTTGAAACTTAGAAAATCTAAAAATGCACCAAACACTTTAGTGGGCTATTTATTTCTAGTAAAGGTAAATTAAAGAATTTTTGGAATTGAAATTCATATAAGAAAAGAAAATATCATTTAGCTTATAAAAAATTAATTAAAATTTTGATGCCATTTCTTTTGGTGGTAAGTATATTTACCACGACCTATTAGGCAGACCTATTTTTTATTTTTACTTTACTAAAAGTACCAAAGATATCATATTAATTACTAATTTTTATTAATAAATTAACATATATATATATCGAGTTAATGAGCTAATTAGCTTAGTAATTTATTTAAAATGCATGCATATATTAATAAAATAATAAATGTATGTTTTTAAGTGTCTGTAGTTATGATTTAATAATTAAAATGATTAATAATAATTATGATTTAACGATAGTGAAGTAACTGCAAACTTTCAAAGACAAGTGCACTATTTTTCCTTCGCCATATAAATCTATGTATTGACAGCAATGAAGCTAAATAAAAAGAGTTGAAAATAAAGAAGGGTTGAAGAAAGAAAGGGCAAAAAGGGTATGGAGTCTATTATAAAAGGGCACTAATTTACTTCAGGGGCAACAGGGTGGATTCGTTTGACTAAAAGGGCAGCAGGGTGCTGCGCCCTGTTTACCCTGCCTAGAATGAGCTCTGTATTAGGAACTTATTGACTTTTATTTTTCCTTATTTATAAAATAAATTTTATAAATGCTACAAACTTCAGAAGGAATTATGCATTTTGGCAAAAGTAATGAAACAACAGACAAATGAAACTATTTATACCTAATGACTCATGACTGTCTTGAATTGCACTCTGAGGTTTGTTTTCAGCTGGCTAAAAAAAAAGAAAAGAAAAATACAGTTAATTTAATACCTGAATTAACATTTCAGTCAAATTAGTGCATTACGAGTTCTGTTTAACGAGATCCCAGGTTTGACAATTAAATTAATTTTTAATAAATGGCTAATTTAACGTTAAAAAGACCTTTTATAATGAGCATACCACATATTTAATGTGGAATACATCCAATAATTCTGAAACAGTAAGGAGTTTTACTTACTTAGGATCAATTATTGACAATTATTGACTTACTTAGGATCAATTATTGAATGACTCCTGAAATAAAAAACCGTCTCTATCTGGCAAATAGGGCTGAGAAGAACTATTAAATCTAGGTTTCTTTTCAGAAAAATAAAGTTCTTAATCTACAAAACTCTTGTCCGGCCAGTCTTACATACGCTTCTGAAGCTTGGACAATGACAAAACTCGAGGAGAATTGTATCACAATATTTGAGAGAAAGATTTTGAGGTGTATACTCGGTTGTCTAAATGAAAACAATAACTGGAGAAGGAGATTTAACTTTGAACTGTACAAGATCTATAAACAACCCGATATTATAAAATACATAAAAATAAAATTGGATGGCCCACGTGATTCACATGAGTGATGACACTACAATAAAAAAGATACTGCTTTTTAGACTCACTGGAGAAAGAAAGCGGCGAAGGTCACGGTTGAGGTGGGCTGACTCAGTGGAGTCTGATTTTGTTGCAATTAATGAGAATAATTGGATATCAAAGATAAATCGAAAGTCGTTATGGAGAAACCTTCAGAGGAAGGCAATGGCCCACATTGAGCCGTCTGGTCAATTATGATGATGACGACATTTCATAATTAAAAATTTCAACTTCAAAATTTTAATGAAGCTGTCAGAAATTTTTTTTTTTTTGTGGAAATTTCCTTTCCTTTGAGGATTAGAAAACACCTCTTCCGTTGAATTTGTTCAAAAATTCTATGTCAATAAAGAACAAAAGACAGAATGTGAAGTCTTTCAGATATCTTGTCATCAACACAATAGCAATACCTTACTAATTACAGTCAAACCACGTTATACTGAACTCCCGGATATACTGAACGAAATATTAGCTCCTGTGCCTTTCTATACGCATATAATATTATTTTTGTGTGGATATAGTAAACCAAAAGAAGAGAGGAAATTGGATATTATGAACTTTTTTTCTATCTTTGACTGATTATTTTCTTCATTTTTTGGTAATTTTGAAATTTCTACATAAAATATATATGCCGATTTTTAAAACCATCTATTGAGTGGAATGTAACCACGAGCATTTTTTTCTTGTTTGCTTCTTCTATCTCAGTTACCCATCCTTAAATAAAGACCATCCGTAAACTTTTTGTACGCAAGACGAAGAGAAATAAAAAATAACACAATTTTTGTAACTACATATTGTTTTTTAATTATCTTTGTATTTCTTTTTATTGGTCATTTATTTAAACAATGTGTAATAAAAGAGAGCAGTTAGAAAAAAATAGTTAAAATTGTTTGCAATACGGATATTGATAACTCCCGGTCATAGTGAAAGGAAATTTCGGCACCTTTGAAGCTTCACTACATCAGGAGTGATTGTGAGCCCAAGTCAAAATTCCGGAAAATTTCTTGAGTGAAAAAAAAAAAAAAATAGTTTAAATTGAAAAATTAGAAAAAAATTTAAGCAAGTTTTTTTTCCCTTTTTCTCAATATTTCTTGGTTCACTTAAAATATATTTAAAATTTTACACATACCTATACCATTTACATATACCTATGATGACCTGGAGAAGTAATTAAAATTTATAAATATGTCTTTCTTTCTTGAGTTAATGATTATAACAACTATTTACTGATAAAAAATGAATATTAATCATGAATATAAGCTTATAAAGTATCTGGCTCTCCCTTACAAACAAATAACTTGTGTTTTTAAGTTCCATCTTTGAAAATTTCATTTTTCGGAAACTTCTGCGATCAATGATTTTTTTAAACGTCTGGACCTTCGATCTCCGGAAACTTCCGGATCACTGCTAGCGAAAAATNCCCACGCCGACTTTAGGGGTGGGGATAAGCGGCCGACACTACCTCTGATTGGTTTGAAGATACTTTCTTTATGTCATTGAGTCACGGCAACTTCCCATTGGGTGAACTACGTACCACCTTCATTGACAGACGGGACTACAAAAATTTTTTTTATTCTATTTTTTTATTTATTCTGGTGCTTTTATTTTTAGCAAACTTTTAAAAGAAATAGGATTTTTATTAACATTTAAATATTCCTCATTTAAGTTTGCTACCAGGTAAAAATTTACCAAATGCCTATATATTAATTATTATACTTGCGTTACATTTTTTATTGCTTTTAAACGAATTTCTGTCAGGAATTGCTAAATGTATGAATGAAAAAGAAATAAAAAAAGTACCAAAAATATTTTATAAAGAGAGTTTTTTTAAAGAATTAGTTTACTGCTTGATATTATTTTCACTATTTGATATCGATCATTATCAAAATAATAATTATAAATAAATTAAAAACACTCGAGAATAACTTTTTTTCGCATTTATACAGATACTTGGTCTTATCTTGGGTGTGAATATTGTGAAAAATGATACTCTTGGCCACCGCGGCATTATTTATTTTATTTCTAAAAGCTGTGAGTGGCATCAGTTGGCTTGTTCATAATTTTCATGGAACGTTTGTGTTATGCGCTTGTCGTTGGTTCTTACCTGCTTTATTTATAATAAATGTTTTGTCCCAGTTAATTCTTCGTATTTTAATAATTTCAAACGCAATTTTTGATATTTATAAACTCTGCAACCTGGATAAGTTTTTAGAACCGTTTGCAACAGATATTTAAAATCAGAAATTACTTTTGTTCCAAAAATTACAGGTTTTCTATCAAAATGGTATTTTTAGGTCAGTTTATATTTTGTTTATTTTTGGCATAAAATCATTTTAGCCTGCAGGGCTAACTACTACTACGTTTTCGCAAAATATTTTATAGAGCGGAAGACAATAGAAAATTAAAACGTTTAAAACTTCGATTGATTTTGGTAACATTTTAAGAGTTTCATTGCAAAAGAACTAGATCAAAGAGGTTTTTTATATGAATTTCTGAATCATTACGATGTAGTGTAAATGTATATTGTTCCGATGTAGTATAAAGTGAGCTTTTTCTAGCCAGAAATCAGTTTACGTATTTCATATACAATCATTTGCGAAAATAATTTCACGAACGAACAAATATATTCTTACATTTATGCAAGCATTTGATCTTTCCTAATTAAGGGTGAGGGCAAATTATATCTGAAATTAGTTATGTTCTGAAAGGAAATTTTTTTTTTCCCGAATGATATTTTTATTGAAATTAGCGAAGCGAAAACATCTAAGTTTGGCCAAAAATCACGCGAAGAAATTTTTTTATATTTTGTAAAATTTTAATATATCACAATAAAGACAAAAAGGATTTAAAGAAAACAAAGAAAATTAAGAAAAATAATTAGTTTTTTAGTTTTATTTACTGTGCATAAGCTGTAAGTATATAGAACTCATATAAAGAAAATATACGGAAAACATGGAAAATATTAAAGAATAATGAAAAGAAAAGAAGACTTATTAAAATAAAATAAAGTAATTAAAAAAATTATAAATATATATATTAAGCTCGAAAACAAAAAAATGAAAAGATATAATTTCCTCATCAGCTTACACGATTATATCTGCAAAAGGGAATGCTTTCTAATATTGTATCAATAGTCATAGCAAAATAAATTAATAGAATGAGGAGCACTCAAAAATTGAAACAAAATATAACACATTAAGAAAAAATATATATCACGTAAAGAACAAAAAATAAAATGTAAAGAAAAAACAGAACATAACACAAATTAAAAATTTCGTTTTGTGTTTATAACTTAATGAATAAAATAAAACATCATTCCCTCACTTTAAAAATTTAGAGTTCAACTAATTTGCTTAAATATTAAGTAAAATTTAGAGGACATGCATTTTTATTATTATATCTATTAATATAAAAAGTTTCCAAGCTTTTCATTCACTTTACTTTTTTGAAATTTTTCGAACTGAAAATGACAGTTTTTATATTGACCCATATACAGAATTTTCATGGCACATTAAATTGTTTACTCACATATTAGGTGGCTTTAGTTCTACTAATTGCTCAGGAACAGGACTACTGAAAATACAAATTTATAATTATTAAAATAAAAGCTTGAATAGTCATATTAAAAAAGTAGAGTATTGCAGATCATTTCATTTTGACCATTCCACAATTGATTATTTTATGCTATTCTAACCTTGATGCACAAATGTTGAGTTCTGCAAAATTAATACAAACAGCCTAAAGACAACAACAGTGAGGATAGTTCGATTGGGTACTTCAAGAAGAATACCACCCATACCCACACATTTGACCTATGACGTCAGCGACAGTTAATCTTTATCAAAAAAATGGAATATTAAAGTTTAACTAAGTCATCCTAGAAAAGTTAGAATGATATATGAAATGTTTTATAGTATATGAGATTTTATAAATGAAGGTGATATTGATTTGGTAAATTATGGCTTATTTTTAATGTTGGGTAAAAAAATTTAAAATTATTTCAAATATCAGAAATATAAAACTAAAAATAAAAGCAGAGAATATTCATAATGATTCTGCTTTAATCTGCATGTGATGGTTGCAAAAGATATTTCTTCAATTAAAATTGTGTTTTTTAATTTTTAATATAACCGCATTAATTGTTTACCAAATACTTATAGTATAAATTTAGAGCTCAAAAATATTGTAAAAGGGGACTCAACTTTTTATTTAAAAAAAATTAGACATACACAATAAATTTCAATCAGACCATCCCTACCACTGTTTCAATTCCTCAATTTAAAGCAATAGGGGGCCATTCACACATTAATTAAGCCTATTGATGGCCATTTTGAAATTCCTCCCTCTTCAAGTCATCAAAAATAATAAAATAACTAGCCCCCTCCCATAGTAACATAAGAAATTTGCAACACCTCATCCCCTTTTTTGCTTTAGCTTTGGGTTTTAGTGTAGTGATCTAGTAACTTTAATTAAAAATTAACTTTAATTAATTTAATTATAACTTTGCATAACATTAATTCATTTTGTAAAGTAAAAACAAGTTCATATTATTTTTATCTTGTAATATTTTCCGTACCAAAATTAAATTTAATAACACTCACAGCATTACAGTATCAAATCCAAGAATAATCCTTTCTGTTATCATATTAGCGATATTTTCATATTAGTTATTACAGATAAACAATAACTATTGCAAAATTATCACATTTGATCATTGTAGTCAACAATGATTATTGCAATATTGTCGTATTCCCTAATTGCTTTGTAACCGTCTTTGAAGAGACACCCCCAATTTTTGGGTTTATGATTACTAACACTCAGCTCCGTAGCCTTGTCATTTTGAACACAATCCAGAAGACAAGGGAACTCTTGGATCAAGCATTGGGAAAAATTTGCCTTCATGGAGGGCTTTTTGATGTAACTAACCCGCATTTGAGTTACATGGAGGGGAAAACCATGAAAACCTCCCATGTCATTGTTAAACTGTTCTACGGTAAAGTGCTCGGCCTCGCTCGTTAGTCAGACGTTAGTTCGGTTAGTCAGACGGCAAGGGGACTCTAACCCGTGATCCGTCTTCCTCTGAGGATATTTTTCGTCAGCACAGTGGTCGGTGTGAGTCGGGTGCTGAATTTGCATCGACCAGCCATTATTGGGATTTAAACCGGTTCACCTCATTGGAAGGCGAACGCTCTATCTGTGGAGCCCTCACAGCTCTTCTGTAATTATTATTATTAGTCGCAATATTTGATACACTTATGCGAATTATTGGTAGCCAACAGCCTTTTTAAACAAGAAATCTCACATTTTTTGCATGTGTCGGCGAATTTGGCTTTGTGGTCCCTAGATTAGTCTGCTTAAGTAGTGGGTCGTAAAAAACAGAGAATCACAACAGTTGAGAAGCATTATACTTACTTGAGGACACCTTCATTTCTGGAGTAGAAGCCATGTTGTTGAATGCACGTTCTCCAAACATACTTAGCAAAATGAGAATCATCCTGGCATGAATTTAAAAAAGATATAATATGAATTTAAAAATATATAATATAAAAAATATTTCATTCTTCAAATTTAATTTATTAATTAATTAATTAGAAGGAAAAACAATTTTTTTTACATATTTAATAATAATTTAAATTCATCATTTATGGTTACAGTGTAACTGACAAAGGGAAATGCAGTACTTCTTTTAAGGGAAATTACCCCTTAAAAAATAGGGTGTACAAAAAAAAACTTTAATAATTTAAACGCACAGTCTGCGAAACATCCTTGAGGATGATCTGAAGACAATCCATCGCAATTTTGATCCTTTGCAAAGGGGATGGCTCCCCTACTTTGATAGCTGAACAACCTGCGAGCGAAGCCGAGCACTTTACGGTAGAACAGTTTAACAATGACCTATACCGCTACGCAGGCTGATCAAAGTGGTCACCCACCTGCTTAATGACCGTGGTCAATGATGCTTGACTTTTTTTTAAGAGGACGCAATACCAAGGGAGAATCTTTTTGTCACAAATTTTTTGCACCTCCATTACTAATTTAGAAGGAAGAAAAAGTGAGTGCAGGCAAACCTAAAGAACGTCATGAAAAATTTGCAGATATCAGATTGCAAACAAATTATTCGAAGAGAACTTTGCCATTGCAAAATTCTAAGTTATCTTTTTAAGATTTACTTTCATTTTAATATTATAAATTTTTTTTCAGTGCTTGAAACTTCACTTTAGTTTTGTTTGAACTCACTTTCTTTATACCTTAAATTAGAAACGGGGGTGGAAGAGAAAACAACGAAAAGTTTCTCCCGTGACATGGCGTTCTCTCAATAGGTTCAAGATTATAAGCAGATGATACACAATACCCCTTTCATGTTACAAATGTTTGTAAGTGAGGTTCCAATTATCTGAAAGAGCTGTTCCCAGTTTTTTACAGCTTTGGAACCCCATTATAACAAAAAAAGTTAATTTGTAGCAATGAATATATTGACAGGGGTGATTGTAAGCCCAAGTCGAAATTCCGGAAAATTTCTTGAGTAAGAAAAAAAAAACAAATTTTAAATCGAAAAATTAGAGAAAAAAAATTTTAAACAAGGTTCTTTCCTTTTTCTCAATACTTCTTAGTTTACTTAAAATATATTTTAAATTTTACACATACCTATACCATTTACACATACCTATGATGACCTGGAGAANTCAAGATTATAAGCAGATGATACACAATACCCCTTTCATGTTACAAATGTTTGTAAGTGAGGTTCCAATTATCTGAAAGAGCTGTTCCCAGTTTTTTACAGCTTTGGAACCCCATTATAACAAAAAAAGTTTATTTGCAGCAATGAATATATTGACCAAACAGACTAATCATTTTGAAAGTATTTAATGAAAATAATGAAATATTTGAAATTATGAATTAGTACTTGCAGTATGCTTATGATAAAAATGAATAAAATAACTTGATTTAATTATGATTTTTAAAAAAGAACTTTGATAAAACATAGAGAGTTGTAATTCTTTATTCTTGAATCTAGTTATTTTATTTTAATTGAAAAGATTGATGAGAAACATTTATTGAATTTTTTACAAATGTATATCCTTTTCAGAATTTATTTAATTGTATTATTAAAAAATATTAAAAAAAAAAACATTTTGCTGTTTCTTCTTATTGGCATTCATAATTAATTTAATATTAACAACCAAAATATTAATTAAATTAAACATTATTGAATGCATGTAAATATAATTAAAACAAAAAAATTTTGAACCACTGTAATCCTTCTACAGAAAGTTCTGTGGAATTGATGTTCTAGAATCAGAAAATATAAAATAACTCACGACATTTGAATTGAAAGTTAGTATCTATAATAAATAGCTAAGACAAATATTACCTGATGACAATAAATAACAGTAAAAATATAATCTTTCAATTATAATGAGTGTACCACTTTCTTTGGAACTTTTGCCTGATTTTGGTAAAAGATTTAATTAACAATTCTAACATAGCATGTTGTAGAACCGAGGGACACGAATTGCAATAGAAATTCTGTTGTACCCAATTTGTTGTTTCTGCATTTTTCAGGACTTGTATTATAGTATAACTTGACTTGTACAATTTGTATTACAATTCATAACTTGATTAATAAAATTGTCATCAAAAATGTTTTAAAGGTGAATTCATGAATAGAAATTTTAACTGATTTTTTCAAGTTTTAATTTAATTCAGTTAACAATCACAGAAGTTTGAAAATGGTGAACTAAGGGATCATTCATAAATTCCTTTCTTTTAAAAGGTTAAGAATTGGGGTAAAATGTTTAATTACAAATATTATTAAATAATGAAATAAAGTAAAAATTTTAAAAATAACAAATCATTAAATTAGCTCCCAGTAAGAAATAATTTTAATTGATAGCTCAATAAGTATTTATATTTTAAAGCAACTAATGGTATGGAGACAAATAAGTGAAAATGAAATTGCTGAATATGTTTATAAAGCATACTTTTGGTACTTTTCCATTTTCCCAGTCAGCAATGCAAGCTTACTGAGTGCAAGTAAATTAAAAAAAATTTTTTTTAATTTTAAGTGAATTTTTTTAAAATAAATAGATAGATAAAATAGCCAAAATTACTTGCATCAGAGAAATAGAAAGGTACCATATTTTTTAATGTTACACATCATTTTATTTCACATAATAATATCCAGCGTGATTTAATTTGCAATTAATGCATTGTTTATTTTATTTTGAGAAACATATTACTGAAGTTTAATTTTACCAAACAAGTTCTATTTTTTTTCTCCAAAACAGCTATGGCATGTCCTGTATAATATTAATAGTTTATCATTCATCATCATCATATATGGCCAGACAGCCCAGGGTGGGCCAGTGCCTTCTTTTGAATTCGAATCCACTTCTCTCTACTTTTGACACTTGTTCGCCAGTTTTTCTCCTTTAGAGTAAGGAAATCAGTCTCAACTAAATCCAGCCATCTCAGCCTGGGTCTACCTCTTTTCCTGTTCGTTAGGGGTTTGTGTAATAGGATTTTCTTTAAATTTGAGTCATCATTCCTTCTGAAAATGTGAGCTGCCCAGTTCATTCGATTTATTTTAATGAATTTCACAATATCTGGCTATAACAGATATAATTTCAAGTTTTGAAATACTTCACTTATCCCTTCTGTTCCATTTCTTTATTTTAAGCCATATTTATATCCGTTTTGCACTTTCAATTGCACCTTCTCGATATTAAGAAGAAATAAGAAAAAGCAAAAAAGGAAGAAAATCTATGATCAATATATTCAATAATATTTATCATCATGCCTGGCTCAACATTATTATCATATAATCAATTTATCTCAATTATAATCATATAGCAATAATTTTAACTTTTACAATTTTGACAACAATATCATTTTTTGTTAATTAAAATTTAAAATTATGATGCTCCACCTTTTCTTAATTTTTGTAAACGATTCTAAAAATATATACTAAGTGTGATCAGTATGGAACATCCTGCCTAACGATTTCCTCAAGGCTAAATAACAATTCTTTAAAGTATAAATTTTGTTTCCTAACTAAAAAAAGGCGCTTTTTTTTTAAAATAAATTGTTTTGTAAATAAATTTCTGTATTGATATCACAACTATCATGTAAGCAAGCCATTAGAGAATACTACCCTCATAAGCAGTCACATATTTAATGTATAATATGCCTTTGTTAAAACAAAATGAAATTGTAAAAAATAATGCTATTACAAAAAAAAATATTCCTATGAAATTACAAACAGTATACTCTCGATATCTCAAAAACCTTGCTAAGTAAAAAAAAATATTTTTCCCCTTGGCAATATATATCCACCTAATGTTAATTTGAATTCCAACTCAAAGAATTTCTTCTCAAAACCTTGCTATGTTGAATCTTTTTCAAAATAGAAAATGAATTTTTTCAGAAAAGTCACAATGTAAGTTCTAAACTAATTCTTTTCTATTTAATGTATAACAATTTTTGTCTTACTCTTAAAAATAAAATTAGTTTTGTTGTATTTAGACTTATAGTCAACTATCATTACATACATATTTAATAGTAGTATTTTTTTACGTTTCAGAACATATTTAGTTTCGAACTTTCTATGTCAAAAACTTGCTATCTCGAAATTTTTTTTAGCGCTCCTTCAACTTTGAGATATCGAGAGCATACTGTAATACATTAGATACTCACTAAATATATCTGCAAAACTTTCGAAGCATTTCTGTGTTCAATGCTGAAACACCTTTTATGATGGACTAGATTTATTATTTGTTCCCACCTGTTTTAACAAAGAAAGAAAGGCAGAATATTAATGTAAAAAAATACACACTTGAGGTTTAAAAAATGTGATATTTATTATTTAAGCCGTAAAAAAATGAATGTAACAAATGCTGCCACAAAGAGGAATACATTCTATAAACAAGAAATGGATAGTACAGTGTGCAAGTGGACTATTCTGAAAATCTACAGCACACAATTGTAAATTTTAAATCAGTTTGAAGACACAACAGAAATCGAACTGAATTAAATAATGAATTAAAAGTATATCACCCTAGAAAGGCATGACATAAAGCTTCATTTTTGGTAATTGAAAAGACACGTCCAAATGAAAGTCTGAATGAATCCTGTGGCAGAATTTTTTGAGCTATCTGCGACAAAACTCTCCAGCACTAATATCTTTCTGTAAGATAAATTGATAAATTGACTGAACTTAATTCTTTTACATACTTTTTATTGAATTCGTTCTTTAATAATGCTTGTATTTTAGCATTTACTTTTTTTTAAAAAAGGCATGACATGTGGAACATTTAGATATTCAAACAAACAATTAAAGCAAGAGATAGTAATAAAAAGCAATAAAAAAAAGATATGTGTGTTGGCAAGACAACACTTCTTCAGGTGACACACTGCCTACCAACACACAGGAGCCTTTCTGTTGTCAGTGGTAAAACCAAAACTGACAGTGCCCCCGAGGCCCCATAATGGATAAACAAATAAGAGAAAATCATGAATAAGAGCACAGAAAAATAATGCACCAGCAAACACTACTTAAAAGTATGCATAGTAAGACTTAAAAATGAAACGCCCACTTATAAATAAAAATAGAGAAAATAGTTAAAGTTACAGTTACCCTCGAAGAACTGCCGTCTGGCCAACACGCATATCTTTCATTTTATTGCTTTTTATTACTTTTTCCTGCTTTGATTGTTTGTTTGAATGTCTATAAAAATAAAGCAAATTTGGTTTTAGCTGCTCTAGGCACTCTTCTATTTTGATTTGAAGTTTTAATTATTAATTTACCTTTTTGTCTTTTTCTGTATTTGTAAATTAAATTTATTTTCTGACTAGATTTCATATTTTCATGCCTAGATTTGCAGCAATTGAGAAATCTTGATTGGAAATTATTATGCTATTTAACTTAATAATTTGTGTCCTTCATGATTTAGATGAAGTGATTTTTTATGGAGTTTCCGGTCCTGTTCCGTGTTATTGTTAGTTATGGTTAGTTAATGGTTAGTTTTTATTATTCTTTATATTTTATTTCAGATTCTAGCAAATTTATTTTTTGCCAACAGAAAAATATTATTTATCTTATAGAATGTAAAACGTGCTCACTTAAATATATTGGACAAACAGGTACTGAGTTAAATAAACAAATTAATAGCCATAGATCAGTCATTAAAATCTTTCGTAAACATGATGACTCTGATATTGAAGTTGTTTATTTTCAAAAGCATTCTTTTAAAGATATTAATATTCTTAAATTTATTGAGGATTTAAATCTAAGAGTAGATTATGAAAAGATTTTTATTCATAAATTAAAAACTTTAAACCCCTATGGGCTTAATAGTAAATTAAATAGAGAAAGTAACATAGATTTAAATACTGTATTCATTTATAATAAATTGAGAATTTTTAATAACAATTTTTCATGTAAACTGAGAAGATGCAGGGGTAACTGTAAAGGTAAAATTAAAAATAAATTTAATTTGGTACTTTTCAAAGCTTTGTGTTTATTGGATGTCAGTGAATTTAACATTAAAAAGATTAGGAGTTTCATTTTTAGAATTAAAAGTTCAGTGTTATAATGGATGATTAAAGAACAATTAAAAACTGTAAAATTTTCTACCCCTGAATTTAAATATATTGTTTTAGATCTTATTAAATTTAAACTTGTTGTCAACAATTTTGATTAATTAAATGTTCCAAAAATTAAAAAAGAATTTACTTATTAATTTTCTTGATAAAGATTTTGAAAGTTTTACTACTGTTAATAAACTGTTAATATACTATTAATAATATGACTGTTAATAAACTTCCTGAATATTTCCCAATTAAAGAGAAGATTGGGGTTTCTGTTTGTTTCAGATATTGTAAGACTTTAAAGAAAAGAATTTGTAATTATAATTTCGATTGTAAAAATTTAAAAGATTTAGAGGATATTTGTCTGTGTGAGCAAGAGCATTTCGAAGATTTTGTTAATATTGATTTTAAAGACATTGTCATAGGTATCCTTAACCTAATTAATAATAAAGATTCAAGATTTCTGATGGGACTTGGGACCAAGTTTAGACCAAGAAAAAAGTATCACTTAAATTTTATTCTAGCTTCAATCGGTAAGGATTTAGATTGTTTCATTGCAAAATGCTCAAGAAAATTTAATTGGCCAGTAGAGGGATTCAGTGAATGGAAATTTCATGTATTGTATGATTTCAAATTGAATTTTGATATTATTAAATATATTAAGGAATTGAGATATAATTTTATTATTTGNAGAAGATGCAGGGGTAACTGTAAAGGTAAAATTAAAAATAAATTTAATTTGGTACTTTTCAAAGCTTTGTGTTTATTGGATGTCAATGAATTTAACATTAAAAAGATTAGGAGTTTCATTTTTAGAATTAAAAGTTCAGTGTTATAATGGATGATTAAAGAACAATTAAAAACTGTAAAATTTTCTACCCCTGAATTTAAATATATTGTTTTAGATCTTATTAAATTTAAACTTGTTGTCAACAATTTTGATTAATTAAATGTTCCAAAAATTAAAAAAGAATTTACTTATTAATTTTCTTGATAAAGATTTTGAAAGTTTTACTACTGTTAATAAACTGTTAATATACTGTTAATAATATGACTGTTAATAAACTTTCTGAATATTTTCCAATTAAAGAGAAGATTGGGGTTTCTGTTTGTTTTAGATATTGTAAGACTTTAAAGAAAAGAATTTGTAATTATAATTTCTATTGTAAAAATTTAAAAGATTTAGAGGATATTTGTCTGTGTGAGCAAGAGCATTTCGAAGATTTTGTTAATAATGATTTTAAGCACATTGTCACAGGTGAGCTTAAACTAATTAATAATAAAGATTTAAGATTTCTCATGGGACTTGGGACTAAGTTTAGACCAAGAAAAAAATATCACTTAAATTTTATTCTAGCTTCAATCAATAAGGATTTAGATTGTTTCATTGCAAAATGCTCAAGTAAATTTAATTGACCAGTAGAGGGATTCAGTGAATGGAAATTTCATGCATTGTATGATTTCAAATTGAATTTTTTGAACAATGATATAAAATAACAGGGTTTTTATTTGAATTTTGATATTATTAAATATATTAAGGAATTGAGATATAATTTTATTATTTGTGTTGTTGATAAAGTCTCTAATAATTTTTGCTTCATTTGAAAAAAAATTTTCAAACTATTAATGAGTAAAGAATATGAAAACAATAATACTTTTGTCAAAATTAATAATTCTAAAAAAGAAATTGATAATAGAATTTTAGCTTTATCCAAGAAAATAGGATTAAAACTCAATAGTTTTAATAACCCTTATTTATTTCCCACAATTAAGTTTCACAAAACACCAGTTAAATTTAGATTTGCAACTTGCAGTACTGGCTGCTATAATTCTGTTTCTGGTAAAAGATTTTTTAATTATTTAAATATTATTTTAAATAAGATTATTTCAAATGATAAACATTTTATTATTAATAATAACCAAGAATAAATATTTAAATTACAATAATATTAAAAATATTCTTACATGTGATTTTGAAAATCTTTTCAAGAGTGTACACAATAATTTAAAGAATATTTGTTTAGAAATTTTCGATAATTATTTGATAATGAAGACGTTAATAAAGAGGATTGGATAATTTTATGTAATGTTAACATTTTCGAAAATTATCTCTTTTATGGAATTTGTTTTTACAGACAAATTAAATGTATTTCAATGGGTAATTGTTATTCAAATGCTTTTGCTAATATTTTCTTACATTATTATGAAGGTAAATTTTACAACATAATTTATTAATTGGGTTTAGATTTATTGATGATTTAATTATTTTTGATAGTAATGATTTTGATTTAATTAATGATATTTATCCTAAAGAACTAAATTTAATTAAAACTAATTCCGAAGACTTTTGCCTGGTTAAACAGGAATAGGAGGCTATCGAAAGAATATGATTTGCTGACAACATCTACTGAAAATTTTACATATCTGGCTATAAATAAATTCATGTTAAAGAGAGAATAAGTTTGAATTTAATGGTTTGCGGACAAGCTCTTAAATATAAAATCTGTATTATTATTCCTCATTATGTTTAGGCAACACCTATAAAGTAAACTCCAAGTTTGTGAATCAAAGTTCAGTTTGCCTATCACTATCAATAAAGATGCTTTAATCTACTTAGTTTTTAATTAGTGTTACACATATCATTACAGCTAACAAAAAATATTACAAGTAGGAACCGTGAGATAAAATGAAAATAAATATAAATTACAAGTACAAAGTATATAAAACAAATGTATTTTTAATTATAAGGACTTACGAAAAATAAATCGATGGTTGGTTGTTAAGATACCATATATAAATGCCTATGAACAATACCCCAATGATAATGGAATTATCAGCATGATCCTGAAAAAAGAAATAAACAAATCATTAAAATAAGTGAGTGCAACCAAAACACATACATTACAAGAAAATGAAAACTGTATAATAAAAAAATAAGTTTGACAACATGTAGAGGGGACATCTTAACTCTTCACAACTCATTGCTGCTAGGTGCAATAACTGGGGTGTATTTTACCAAGAAAAGAAGAAAACAGTGGTAGTGAAAGATTTTCATTTCTTGCTTATAGTTATTAGGAAAAATTGAAATAGTCATGAGTTATAATACATATTAACTGGTTAAAAAGAAATATATAGGGGAGAGTGGGGTTAAACCAGGTAGAGAGGTAAAACTAGGTACCTTCATTTTGACGAAATTAGTTCTGTTTTCTAGTGGACAAACTCTGAATTACACTTCACTAGTCAAGTAAAAGGACCTACCATATTGTGTGCTGTTGATTAATTCATCGCATGTGTGTAGATAAGTTTGTTTTAATATATCAATCTTCTAATGTTCTCTTTTTTTTTAAACAAATCTTTATTAATTGGCCATTGCTAAAGTCAAGTTTTAATTTTTTTAAAAATCAAAAAATTAGCGCAAAGTTTTTATTTTACTTTATTTATTTTTTTATTATTTTTTTTAAAGTTATTAATAACACAATAAGTTTATATTATTTAAAAGAAAACAATTTAAGAAGTAAAGAGATAAAAGCAGATTGATCATCCTCAAAAATGCCAGAGGCATTTTATGACCACAGATGTTAGCAAAACAATAAGAAAAGATAAACAAAAATACTAAAATCACACATATTTTAAACTAAGTTTTTAGAGTATATTTCAGTAACTTTTTTTACCTCTAAATATCACAAAATAATAAATTAATCTTTTGTTTGATAATAAATTGTGTGACTGATTTAGCATTTATTAAAAATTTACAAATCCTGAAACTCTCTTTTCCCAATTAATAAATTCTCCAGTTTCTTTTGAAAATTCTGGATTGTAGTTGCAGGGCAGAATGTTTTCCTACAGTCACATTGTTGTCAGGAATGGTAAATACCACCAACAAACTGCAGTCATTACTTTTCCTGCCACTGATTTAATTCCATTTTGCAAATATTCTACCAAAAATGAGAAAAATTGGAAATGTCTACAAACTGTAGAGCACATAACCGAGTTTCTAAAAGATCAAGAAAGGAGTTATGTCTTTTCCTAAAAATTCCTAAAAATTTCCACTCACATAGAAAAATTATCAACAAAAAACTAGGGCCTTAAAATAAACAAATGAAGTCGCACTCAAGTTATACTAAGCAGGAATCACTTTTAAAAAAATCCTAAGAAAATACTCCTGTCAATCAAGTTTCGCAAAAAAAAACAACAAAAAAACTGAAAGTTGGCAGGTCTGCTATAGTATCTTTCTCTTGGATAAAAATATTTTTTGGAGCACACGAGAGAAAATCTTATCTTTCAAAAATTAATGGTTAGTAGTGTAGGCAAGAGAACTTTACAGCAGGGGTACTAGAGATAAGTTTGGCTTGGTCTTAGAGATTCAAGTCATCCCAAAGAATTTCATTCCAAACTCACCCGAGCCCAAGGTATATAGGATCACTTAGAGCTCAAGATATACATTGGATAAAAGCCAATTTTATGTGGTCTTGTCATTTGCAGTTTGATACCTAAACAAGGAAATTAGTCATTTAAACCTTATTATCACAATTAGTTAATAAATTTTTTATACTAGATAATTGCAACACCAACAGTTTGCTTAAAAGTAGCAAAAAAGTTTATGAAAATTTAATCACAAGTTCAAACTCAGAAGAGTCTGCAACCCTTTTTCAGTAATGAGCGCAAACCTGCAGCATAAACCCACCTTGCCTCTAGGAGGTACAAAATTTTTTTTAAAAACAGCGATACAGAAAAAAATATTTTGGCACCAATATACCACCAGGGTTGGGTTTTTGACGTCAAAAAGTGGTTTTTGACATGACAAGGGTATAATACTGGTTTAAACCGTCAAAAACCCGTCAAAAATGTCAAAAACTGAAGTTTGCNTGCTTGTGTTTAAACCTACTTAGTTTTTAATTAGTGTTACGGGCATCATTAGAGCTAATAAATAATATTACAAGTAGGAACCCTGAGATAAAATGAAAATAAATATCAATTACAAGTATAAAATGTACAAAACAAATGTGCTTTAATTATAAGGACTTACGAAAAATAAATCGATGGTTGGTTGTTAAGGTACCATATACAAATGCCTATACCCCAATGATAATGGTATTATCAGCATGATCCTGAAAGAAAAAAATAAACAAATCATGAAGATAAGTGATTGCCACCAAAAAACATACATTGAACAAAAATGGTTATACCTATGAAATGAAGCTAAAATTTACAAGAAAATGCTTAAATTGTATAAAAAAACAAATTTAAGTTTGAAAATATGTACATGGAACATCTATTCTCTTCAAAACTCAACCCTGCTAAACTGGGATGTATTTTACCAAGAAAAGAGAAAATACTGGTCGTAAAAGATTTTAATTTGTAATTTATATCAGGAAAAATTCAAATAGTTTTGATTATCACATTGTGAACAGTTATAATATATATTTACTAGTCGGAAATAAATATATAGGGGAGAGCGGGGTTAAACTGGTTAGTGCGGTAAAATCGGGTACCTTGATTTTTCTGAAATTAGTTCTGTTTTCTAGCGGACAAACTCTGAATTACACTCCATCAGTCAAGGAAAAGGGCCTACCATATTGACGCGTCGTTGTAGATTAATTCACCGTGTCTATATAGATAAGTTTGTTTCACTATGTCAACCCTCTAATGTTCTATTTTTATAAACAAATCTTTATTAATTGGCCATAGCTAAAGTCAAGTTTTAATTTTCTTAAAAATCAAAAAATTAACACAAAGTTTTTACTTTATTTTATTTACTTTTTTAAAGTTAATAATAACACAATAAGTTCACATAATTTAAAAGAAAACAGTTTTAAGTAGTTAAGATAAAGAGATAAAAGCAGATTGATCAACCTCAAAAATGCCTGAGGCTTCTTACGACCACAGATGTTAGCAAAACAAGATGAAAAGATAAATAAAAATACTAAATTCACACATATTTAAGTTTAAAAAGCATATTTCAGTAACTTTTTTTACTTCAAAACATTACAAAATAGTAAATTAATCTTTTGTTTGTAAATAAATTGCATGACTGATTTAGTATTAATTAAAAATTTACAAATCCTGAAACTCTCTTTTCCCAATCAATAAATTCTCCAGTTTGTTTTGAAAATTTTGGATTTTTGTTGCAGGGCATAATGTTTTCTTACAGTCACATCGTTGTGTGAAATGTTAAATAACACCAAATTTAACTTGGCAAACTGCAGTCTTTAACTTTTCCAGCCACTGACTTAATTCCATTTTGAAAATATTCTACCAAGAATGAGAAAAATTTGAAATGTCTGCAAACTGTACAGCACATAACCGAGTTTCTAAAAGATCAAGAACGGAGTTATGTCTTTTGCTAAAAACTTAGAAAACATAGAAAAATTATCAACAAAAAACTAGGGACTTAAAACAAACAAATGAAGTTGCACTCAAGTTATACTAAGCAGGAATCACTCTTAAAAAACCCTAAGAAAATACTCCTGTCGATCGAGTTTCACAAAAAGAAACTGAAAGTTGGCAGGTCTGTTACAGTATCTTTCTCTTTGATAAAAATATTTTATGGAGCACAGGAGAGAAAATCTCATCTTTCAAAAATGAATGAGTAGTAGTATAGGCAAGAGAACTTTACAGCAGGGGTACTAGAGATAAGTTTGGCTTGGTCTTAGAGATTCAAGTCATCCCAAAGAATTTCATTCCAAACTCACCCTAGCCCAAGATATATAGGATCACTTAGAGCTCAAGCTATACATTGGATAAAAACCAATTTTATGTGGTATTGTCACTTGCCCTTTGACACCTTAACAAGGAAATAAATCATTTAAACCATATTATCATAATTAGTTAATAAATTTTTTATACTAGATAATTGCACCAACAGTTTGTTTAAAAGTAGCAAAAAGGTTTATGAAAATTTAATCACAAGTTCAAGCTTGGAAGAGTCTAAAACCCTTTTTCAGTAATGAGCTCAAACCCGCAGCATAAACCCACCTTGCCTCTAGGAGGTACAAAAATTTTTTTAAAAACAGGGATACAGAAAAAAATATTTTGGGCTTCTAGTAGTCTGTAACCACTTAAATATTATCATTGGAAAAATCATAAAAATTACCATAACTTAAAAAGTTAGGTATAAAATTTAATAAAACCAGTTAGTATTATAGTTCACATAATAAAGTATAAAATAATATTAAAATTGTTGACCAGACAATTATGGTGTTACAGAAATTAGCATACGTTTAAAATTAATAAATCAGATGAGTTAGTTTTGAATAGAAAAGTATGAAGTATAAACGGGTGTGACGTATGGGTGTGGCAGAAATGGAAAACAATAACAATCACACCTCCAGTGGCTTAGTGCCCTAAGAGAGCAACAACAACAATAAATGAATTGCAACATATTTAAACATGCCTTTAAAGTCTTTGTTATGAAGATAGTGCAGTTAAGGTAAAATGTATTAAAAAAAAGTGGTGAAAAATTGGTTCAGAAGTGTTTTGACACCTCAAATTAATGTCTTTATGTCATGAAAATTTAAGGATATCATTTCTGTATTTAGGAATACACTTGGTCTCGGCCTGGCAGCAGTTACTGCAGATAATTTCAACATCAGCAGATTAAATTCTACACAGCTTTTTAAATAAAAATTAAGTAAAAGCTGTTAAGTCTGTATCATCGCTATATTGTTTCTAAACAAAATTATTAAGCTAAATTGAGAAAATACTGCAAAGAATAAAAATTCTGCTACTACCAGAGTCCTCAGGATTGTGCAAATTATTGCATTAGCAATACTTTGATCCAATGACATGAAAACTAAAAAGTGGCCAGAACCAGATCTTATAAAACAAAAATAAAATAAATTGATTTACTTTAGCAGCAAAACATTCTAATCCATAACCATTGAGATGTTGGGCTTCCATGATGTAATACACTTCTGCAAGTTGCTGTGGCATTCCTTGGAGACTTCTGTGACTCAGAATGACTCTCTCTAAAATAGCATTCTCTTTGTTGCCTGCAATTTGCTGCAACAATAATAGAAGGTAGAATTAGATACAAATTGTAGAATTTGATATAAATGCTACCCTAACACATTTATATCAAATGTGTGAAGGTAGGTTTTAAAGTAATTAAAAGCACAGTTACTTTTTAATATTAAACAAATCAAATTTTCTTCTTCAAAACTTTGGAACATGAGGGTAACCCCCAAATAACCAACAAGTTGAAAAAAAAATTTATGTTTTAATGACTATACTATGCTTGAAAATATTTTTCAATACCATGTTTGAAAATATTATTTATTCTTTGCAAGAGAGTAAGAAAGGAACAATAAGTCTGAAAATACCTATCGATTTGAATCGTGAAAAAATAAATAAAAAAGTGGATCAAACTATTTTTCATACAAAGTAAACATTTAAATTACTGACAAATTTATTTAAAGTTTTATTTCTTCTTTTTTTGACAGTTCAAGAAAGCTAAATAAAGCTATGCATTCAGCTTTATATATTAATTGAAATTTAAGAGAATAAAATAAGTAGTAATGTTTTAACTTCTTTCAAAATTCAAAAAGTCAGAAGAATCTCATGAAACATTTCTAAGAAAAAGACTGTAAGTGAATATTTGTTGGAAAAAGAACATGGGACTAAGAAAGTGCTTGAAGTTTCTTCTACCAACTGCAGTGTTGGGACTCGGGTGATTGTGAGCTTAACCCGAAAAAAAAAATCATTAAGTAAAATCATTAATGATGCATTTCAAGAAATTAATGTCTTTATAAATTTAAATCATTGATATTTTCACAACATGAAATTCTAAATAAATTATATGCAGCATAATTAAAATTAATAATAATGTATAAGTTTACTTCTATCTCTTATCACATTTATGATTTTACCAGAAAAAAATATTTATATATGAAAGAAATGTCAAGCATAAATTCTAGTTCTAATATTTGTAAATAAAATAGAGAAGAACTTTTATACATAAATGTAATCACCGATTTCTTGAAACTTCTGGACCTTGGATTTCCGGATCATAGTTAGTGAAAAATACAGAAATCCAGATTTTTTCAGGAGCACAATCATCTTTGGGGACTTCACATTCACGATGATGAAATTTAGAGTATGCTGAAATAATTCAGGTACATATCAAATTTCACTTTCTACTCCAGTAATTCTTGCAGTGCCATCTACCCCTTCAGGACAACATAGACAATTCTGCATTGCTTTAAGATTTTGAGTCGCCTTTCCTTAGTTCTGAAACATTTAGATCAAACTCCCTGCATAATAGATGATATTTGCACAATAGTATGCTTAAACCCTGGCGGAATGTATTGTGAACTAGTTTTTTTTTTATCTCATTACCTCAGTGATTGCACCTCATCATTACCTCAGTGATAAAGAGACTGACACATTCTCATCCTCTTCTTTTAGTTTCTTTATAACTAGTACAAAATAAAAAAAACTTTGTCTGACTGATATTCTGTTTTTTTTTCTGAGAATTTTAACTGGACGAAAATAAATCTGACGGTGTGATCATCAGTTAACAAAATAGTAAAACTTGTCATTCATTAATTAAAATTCATTCACACATTTCATGGGTTCGTTCATTTTTGACAGATCATCTGTCATCAACACAAATGAAGAAAATTTAGGGTAAATAAATTGTACTTATTTATATCTGATTATTTTGTAGCACATTTTCTAAAATGGAATTCCAATTAATGAAAAAGAAAAGCGAAGAAGAAAGTTAAATAATAAAGTTAAAGTAAAATGTGAAAAATAGTTACCTTTGGCAAAAGACCAAAATTAGAGAGGTATTCTGTTGTATGCCTTTCAGGATCATGATCCCCAAACTCAGCTGCATAAATAAAATGTATCAGTACAAATTAGCCAAAGATAAATGATGTTATATTAAAAATGAAAAAGAAAAGTTTAAGTATCTTATTAAAGAAATAATTAAGCAAAGTAGTTAGAGAAACTATAATAATGTAATAAGTCAACATTCAGAAGCCATTCAAATATTGCATAAAAACATTTTTGGCATCTCCTCCCTAGAGTTTTTACCAATAAAACACATTAAAAAAATGGTGAAAATCAAAGAAAAAACAGGCTTTTTCTAAGGCAGTAAAAACTGTTCTATATATATTTTTGTATCCTTAAATCATAGCTTTTCTCCTGTGCATTTATTATTTCACTTTTAATTGGAGTTTGAAACTCAGATAACTGTTATTTTTTAATATTATTATAATGTATTTCTGCACTACATTTTAAGATAAAATTATTTAGAAAGAGAATCTATTCTTATTAACGCTCTTACAATTATTATTTTTGTGCATATAACATTAATATTATATTATAAATTACAGTTAAAGAGATCTATTAAATGATTTAGAACTTAACAATCAGCTTCAAGCACAATGAGATGCAAGCAAAAATAGTATTTAATATATCCATATGTTTGATAAGCGAAAATATTTAATTAGGATTGTGAACTCATCAAATTTGTTTTAACAATATAACTTTATAAATGTTATTTTAAAAAATGCCTACGTAGAAAAATTACTTTTGCTTACCAATAGATATAAATATTTATAATACTAATATATAATAATATTTTGACGTAGGAAGAGGAGGCACAAGCGTAAGCAAACAGAATTCCTTTTAGTACATGTATGTAAAGTGAATAATTTTAAATTTAGAAGAAAAACAGTTTTCTGCCAAGAAACAATTGAGAAACAGTCATCAGGGCCGGAGAGCGGAGGCGAACAGGGGGCTTGGCCCCTAGTAAGTAAGAAATTCATTGCACTCCCTTGCCCTCACAAAGTCGTTTTAACTTTGATTATTATTCTAGCAATCTAATTTTAGGATTGAGTGCAAATAAAAGATGTAAATCTTACAACAACAAAATATGCTACTTAAAGATGGTACGCCGTAATGCATTGTGTTTGAATGATTTGTGAATATTTTGTATAGAACAATGTGAAAACCACGTTTTTGCATAATACGTGGCAAAAATCGACATGGAAATGAAAAAAAAAATCTCATTTTCACAAAGGGAAAATTAAGCACTTTTTAAAAACATCCAATAAAAAAAGTACCCTTAAGGGCTTTTTAAAAAATCGAAAATAAGCACCTTTAAGCACTTTTTAAAAACTCTATGCATCCTGCAGGACCTCCCTTAATATTTATTTTTAGAACCTTTTAAAATAAATAAATAAAAATGAAGTAAAAAAATCTGTGTGCATTAAGTGTTATTAGGAAGTAAAGTGGAAAAGAATAAAAAAGGTTGTTTCACACTTGGACCAGGTTTGATTACCCACCCCAAAGATGCACATTCTCAGTATGAGTTTCTCTCAGTGAACTCAAATCTACAGTTTGTCTAAAGTAAGAACTCCCTTAGCTATTCGTCTGGACCCGTGGCGGTGAGTAGGGGTGTGAGGTCACTGTTTAGGACAAGTTTTAGCTCGGGTAGGCGAGAAAAAGGGAATCTTATACTTCCCAGTCTATTGTGTTAGTTCAAGAGTGATGAGAAGTTGAACTCCCCGAAATGCGCTATTCTTGTTTCCATAGCAGCAAGCGGCCTCAGACTCTGTGTGTGTGTGGGGGGGGGAGTTTTTACCATAGACAAACTATACGCTAATGTTATGTCAGTTTTAGAGTCAAAAAATTCTATTCAACGGATAGAGAAGAAAAATGAGTTGACATTAAGCCTTAAGTAAGCAAGTGGCATTGAAGCCACAGGAATGCTAGGCAAATAAGCATTTTACAGGAAGGTTTTGTTTCGTCCACACTTAGTGTTACAAAGAATATATAAAAAAATAGTTTATTATATTGTTTTAAACCAACTAACCCCATATTAAATATTTTTATTAACAAATTTTCATAATAAGTAGACACTTTTAAAACATAAAAGATAGGATATTTTAAATTACCTTGTAAGCTATAGCTAGCAAAAAGGATCATTTGATCTTCGTTGCAGCGCAGTTTTCCTTCTAGGATGTCAGATTTCAACTGAAGAAAATAGTGATACCTACACACAAAGATAAGTTCTGATTTAAAATAGTAATAGATTGAAAACAATACAGAAAATCAAATTCTTAAATACATATATATACACAATATCACTTACATGGCACATATATAATATAGAATGTCTCATATAAGTCTTAATATTAATTCATAGTTAAAAATAGATAGAATATATTTTTTATTAATTCTAAGGCATAAAAACTGTTTTTTCACTTAGAGCCATAAAAAGTTAATATTTATTGTGGGGAGAGAAGTTACCAACAATGTCAATCTGCTTCTATGAAAAGGTACCCCAACATAGAATCGAGTTAATGTGTCTTATTGGAATTATATTTTTGCAGCGGTACATACACTACATTCATATTAAAATATTATTTTCTGTAATATAATGGGTATTAATTCTCGGTAGGTAAGCACTATATTTAAGTCGCTCTAGAGCTGCACAATGTGCTATTGGCGACGGTCTGGGAAACCTCCCTGAGGATGATCCGCAGACATGCCATCACCCTCAGTCCCTATGCTGGCTGATCAAAGAGGACACCTACCAACTTACTGACCACAGCCAGTGATGCTTCACCTCGGTGTTCTATTGGGAATAGTGTCTTTAACAATCAGTTAAAGACACTATCAGCAAGACTGTTAATTCTTGGAAATATACTCATTAAGGAAATCTCAAAATTTCCTTATAATCCGTATGGCGTCATCTGTTAAAATGTATCAAGATGGTTGAATTTTCTTTTGGGGTGATGTTCGATTTTCGTTTCATGATGTAAATTCTAGTAAAACTATGGCCTGAATGGCCAAACCCCAGGATCCTGACTAAGGAAACCTCTTCCTTAAAGAATTTATCATAAGGTGTTAAATAAAACTTAACGGAAACCAATTTTAATGTCGTCAATGGAAATTACTTTTTTTCTTTCCACAAATAAAAAGTCACAATCCATATATATATTTACATATATACATATAGATACACACACATTTGTTTTGAGATGCTAGAAAATGATTAGTTTTCAGATTATTATTATTCAGGAGCCTTGGAAGGTGATGTTGTAATATTCATGATTTAAAATATTTTTAACCCTGTCAGGCTCTATAATGTGTCCTTCGGATACAGTGTATTAACTTTGTCCATACTTTTTTACTTCTATATACCTTTACACTTATACTTTAACCTATATACTTTTTTTAATTCTTAGGAATTCTCTTAATTTTAAAAGTTAAAACTAAAAAACCTATTATAATTGCAAATGAATTTTTTATTGAAATATCATATTGTTAAAATACCATACCATAGAGATGCAGTGAATAACTATGAAGTGAACTAACTGCCGAAGGCTGGAAATAATACATAATCACAGAATTTAACACTTATTCACAGAAGAATACTCAAACTTTTTCTTTGGAAAACATTAACAAGGTATGAAAATTTTTAAAAGGACTCTTTACTTTGCAATAAAGGATTTTTTCCCCTGCAATAAATAAAACTTTTCGAAAAATAATTGTGCTAATGGTAATAATAATCAATGCATAGAGAATAATTAACACAAAATTTAAAAAAAAAAAGGGTAAGAAATTTAAGTAATAATCAAACCAAATCAATAATAGAGTTATCCTACATCCAGTTATAGTGGTTGTTTCATAAATCTAAATTGAAAATAAATATAAATGCAAACCAAATGAAAAAATAAAAGTAATTTAAAATAAACATAAAGCAAATGATACCTGGTTACTTCGTCATGAAGAATATTTACATCAGCCACAAAAAACATGACTCCCAGATAGAGACTGCAACTCTCAAGGGCATATTTATCAAGTTGCCTCTTCAACGGTCTTTTTAAATCCACCCACCAAAAAGAGCCTTTCTTTGACAGGAATTTCAAACCAAAAAACTGCGGCTAAATATACACAAAGTTATTCAAACAATCTTTCAAAACCATCAGAATAAATTTTCCATTCTTGGAAATTATTCAGAAGAAAAATTAAATTAGACAACTGCCTCATATCAATGAGGTCATACAGATGAGTAGAGTCACCTTGTTTCTTGTATTTATAAACTAGCAATTACAGGCAACAAATTTATTTAACCACTTCAAGTTTTTTTTACAAAATTTTTTTAATAAATTACTTTAGGGATTTGTCCATTTTAGACTCTTATACTGTTAACAATACATTTCTATTCCGAATTAAGTTTTAATTTTACATTTGATTGTATTATAGAGATTAATATAAAACAATTTTTAGCAGAGTGATATAGTTTCAAATTTATTGTATGATTTTTATATGTATTGTGTGATTTTTTTAAAATAATATTTAAATTATAATTGCATTTATAATATAGCCTCAGACATTATAGTATGTTTTAACTTCAAAAAGTTTTTATTAATTTATCAATACATATTATATTGTGAAATAATGCTTTGACTAGCCAGCATAATTTGCTATTGATTCCTGCAATTATATATTTATATTTTTTTAAAAAACATATTGCATTCATATATTTATTTCATATATTTATTTCAAGCGATGCTTGTTTAATATCACATTGAATACACATTTATATGATGGTGAAAATGTTTTTTTTTTTTTTTTTTTTTTTTTTTTNTTTTTTTTTTTTTTTTTGGTTTAAATTCTGCAAAATGGAGTAAATAAAAAGTAATTAAGCAAAATGAAATCACTGCAACAACATTTCTCTAAATCAACACTTAGCCCCTCTCATTCCTGAATATTTCTAAATTAATTTCTAGCGCGATTAAATAATATTTATGAAAAACAGTTAAAATATCTCTGACAAAATAATATAGTATGTTAAAAACTTTTAAGAATGAAATGTGACCATTTAGTAATCAGTAAAGCCCGGATTTTGATGATCTAAAAAGTCTCAACTAATGCCCTTAAAAAGTGCAAAAAATGCCCTTAAAAATCCAAAAATTGCTCAAAAAATGCCTTAAATAAAGTAAAAATATTGAATTAAAAANACAAAAATTTTTGGAAATAATCTTAAAAAGAAGAAAAAACGATGAAGTAATACACTAATAATTATTTCCAAAATGATGGTAAGGTAAACATCTTTAAAAAAAGACAGAAAAATCCTAAAATCTTATGAGAAAATTTTATTATATTTTTTTTTTGAAAATAGAGGGAAAACTTATCGAATTTCGTTCCGGTTTTTTGGTTTTCCGGTTTTCTGATTTCCGGATAACGGGTTCTGTACTGTATTTATAAACTAACAATTACAGGCAACAAATTTATTTAAGCATTTCAAATTCTTTTTCCAAATTACTTTAGTGATTTGCCTATTTTAGACTCTTATACTGTTAACAATACATTTCTATCCCAAATTAAGTTTTAATTTTGCATTTGATCGTATTATAGAGATTAATATAAAAAATTTTTCAGGAGAGTGATATAGTTTCAAATATATTGTATGATTTTTATATGTATTGTGTGATTTTTTAAAAATATTATTTCAATTATAATTGCATTTATAATATAGCCTTAGACATTATATTATGTTTTAACTTCAAAAAGTTTTCATTATTTTTTCAATACACATTAAATTGCGAAATAAAGCTTTTACTAACTAGCATAATTGACTACTTATTTTTGCAATTATATATTTATATTTTTTTAAAAACACATTGCATACATATATTTTACTTATTTCAAGCGATGTTCATTGAATACACATTTATATGATGGTAAAAATATTTTTTTGATTTAAATTCTGCAAACTGGAGTAAATAAAAAGTAGTTAAGCAAAATGAAATCGCTGCAACAGCATTTATCTAAATCAACACTTAGCTCCTCTCATTCCTGAATGTTTTTAAATTAATTTCTAGCGCGATTAAATGATATTTATGAAAAAATACTTTTTAGTAATTAATTGTACATTGCTTTGACACAGTTAAAATATCTCTGACAAAATAACATAGTATGTTAAAAACTTTTAAGAATGAATTGTGACCATTTAGTAATCAGCAGTAATTATATAAATGCAAACAAATAATTATAATTTGTTTTAAATTTTAATAAATAATTTTTAGAAATTGAAACAAATAATCAACAATTTTATTTGTTTTAAGCATGCAATGTCTTAGTTATTACTTTAATTGAAAATGTGAGATAAAAAGAATGTTCAAAATACATTTTCAAATTTATAAAATTTTCTAAGAATTTAAAAATGTCAAACTAATTGAATTAAAATACTAAGCACCAAAATTTCAAGAAAAAGACAATATTTAAAAATAATAATAATAAATATTCTACTAATAAATGAAAATCTAAACATTTTATTAACTCTGTAATAAAAAAATATATTTTTTTAAACAGATTACGAAAAAAAAGTTCACAAACACAAACAAGTTGCGATCGCCTTATTATGATCACTGGTCACCCATTGGTCAAATGATTTTTTTTTCTGGATAGACTCTGTAAAACGCCACAACATTTCAAATCATATGTTGCAAAAACTGTCTCAATTGATGTTTGCCGTAGCATCACAAAATACTTTTCCTTCTTAAGCATTCATATTTATATTGAAATCATCGTCAAGCCATACGTTAATAATAAAAAGAATATAAAAATACTTTAAATTATTATAATGTAAATACATTAAAAATGCCTGCTAGTGAAAATAAAAAGAAAAACAGCAGCGGTCGCCATAACAACGCGTGCAATGACGACACATGCACACTGTTTACTATTACTCTTGAACACAGTTGAAAAGTGTGCGAACGCCATCAAACCCAAACCTAGACCCATTTTGCCAATGGGTAATAAAAATGAAGTTTCCGAACAATTTTAGAGACCTCAGAGTTAATCCCAATTTGATCACTAAAATTCCTCCATTAATATAGATGACAATTTTAACAAATTTAAATGTGACTAACCTGTTGGAGTCCAAGTCTTTGACAAACATTATTGAGACATTCTTGGCCAAGACTTTGGGCAGACAGAGTACACTCGACTGTAGTATTATCCAGCAATTCAACTGATAGTACAAATAAATTCTTTGAGGACACGTTGTACTGTCTACTTTTTTTAAGTTTCAATTTGAAAGGCATCTTACTCCTTATTGGTTCAGGCATAGGACACCTGTAAATATTAAATCACTGTTACATATATTCATTTAAGAGACATTACATAGACAGAACTTTATAAAGGTTGCTCGATAATGAACGCTTTTAAGTACTTTTAGAATAATTTTCCAATTTGAAATTTAAAAAAATAGGAATATTGATTGGAGCAAATTAATATTTAAGAGGAAAAAAATCAAAAATATGAGGGCTGTTTTGTTGTGTACACTAATAGGTGAGGCATGTGTCACAACGATCGCTTGCGTCGTGTCATGGCATTATTTTAGAACACCTGTGCTCAGTTACAGCAGTGTAGGAAATCTGTATGGTCAGTTCTGCCTCTTTAAAATTTTGAAGTTTAATAAATCGCTCACCGCATAAAAGGTGCTTTTAGTCCGCAAAAACCAGTCTGCTACATACATTCACTGTCAGATTTGTAAAGTTTACGAAGCTTCCAACTGGCATGCTGAGAGGAAATTTTGCAGCTCTATGACTATCACTCTCACCACAGCTCAGTCCCGATCTTAATTGGATTCTTTTCGCTGGGAAGCTTTGGACCACCCCTCAATACAGTCCAAACCTTGCACTAAGTGATTTTCATTTTTTCTGATGTTTCCAGCGTTATTTTGGTGGCAACCAGTACAACGCTGATAAAGACGTGAAAACGATCCTGATCTTTTGGTTATTGGAGCATGTGGCAAGTATTTTAAATCTAGTTGAAGAAGGCATTCTAAATCTAGTTGTAAGGTATGATTAGTGTTTAAGCAAACTTGGCAAATATTTTGAAATAAAAAGAGAAGCGTCTGCAGAGTTAAAAAAAAAAATTTGCTTCATGAAAATCTTCTATAGCTTCTTTGCTTTTTATTTTTAAACAGCCTTTACTTTAAAAAAAATAATAATAATAATAAATAAATAAATAAATAAACAGCCCTTGTATAATTGAAATCTAACGAGTCAGTGCCTTGTGGGGCAGTATTGAAAACCTGTTTATTTGACAAAGGAAACTTTAACATATTTTACATTACAGGGTTGCCACAGTAAAAAATGAACCAAAATAGTTGCTTTTAGTAGCCTCAAGCATGAAAATAGTTGCCTGAAACAATGAAAATAGTTGCCTGAACAGGAACAAAAATCTATCAAAAATAGTAGCCAAATAACTAAAGTTATAGCTTAATTTAAATATACTATGACTAGGACTGGGTGATGTCAGAAGTTTTAAATTGTGATAGTTAGACATCGCGTTAAAGTGATGTATCGCGATTTAGCATATGTTCAAAAATTACCTATGGGAAATATTTCAATCCATCAAAAATAAATAAAAAGGAATAAATGTACTATGAGAGAAAATATTAATTCTAAACATATTCTACTATGACCCCAAGCTTTATTTCATTTTTCTTGAATTAAAAATAATTTAAGATTTATTGTTTTAAAAATAATAATACTGTAACAAAATATTTTACATACATGCAATGAAAATTAAAAGAAAAAAAAAAAAACGAAAGTGGAAAACAAACCAAAGAAATGTTCACTTTAGAAAAAAAAATTGTTTTTTTTTATTATTTGTTGGAAAAAAAAACATGCTTTTGAAACATCATTAGACCCTTTTTTATTTACTTATTTAAAATAATAAAAAGTAGTATTAACTAATGGTCAAATTCTGTACTTAATAAATGTAAAAATATTTTTACTTATTTATTATTATTTTCATTTTTGAAAATAAAATCGACTAAAGATTTATTTGTTTAAAAATGATACTGACTATCGAACAAATTATAAAACAAACAAGTATTGAAAGAATTTTAATAAAAATTTTAAAAAAATACTTTAAGTACTAATGTTAAATTATTAAAAACGTCAAAACATTACTAAACTTTTTATTTAATTAAAAAAAATCTTTGTTTTTAAAATCTGCCAAACTAATCAGTTAACCAAATTTTTTCAAAACTTTCTTTTCATTTTCTCAAAAATAAAAGCAATTTAAATAAAGGTAGGCTTTGTTTAATTTTTTTATAATTAAAATTGACTGAGCATTTATTGGTTGAAAAACAATCAAATTATTATGCTTAACCACATTTAATAAATTTAAAAAAACTAACTTTTTATAACAAAGTTAAATACAAAATACCCCTATTAAATTGTATCGCTTAAAATAAAAAACAATAATTGAAAAAAATCAATGATTTGATCTATTGAGTTCAGAACGAAAATTTAAGATAACAGCGATTGCGCAGCAATCGCAAAGTAACAGTAGGACTACTAAAAATAATTGACAAGAATCGTTAAACCCAGACAGAAAAAAAATGGTATGAAATAATGCAGAACGAAACGATCGCTGCAAAAGTCTCACTGAAAATAATTTACAAGAAACCCGACAATTATTTCCGACGAAATAAAATGCACAACGATCGCAAAATGACTAAAGTCTCATTATAAATAATCTTCAAAAAACGCAAAATCCCAAAGACAAAAATCGACATAAAGAAACAATGCATTGCATTCTATATTACAACGCTGATCCTCGCACGAAACCGGGAGTTCTGATTCAATTCGTCTTCGTCATTTATCACAAACTAATATCTTAATAGCAAAACGCTATCTACATCTCTGCAGCTAGACGAAATCAAAATCGTCTTCATTAATGCGATAACAGCGTTAGCCTAGTCAAGGATCCTTACATATTAAATCATTAAATCGCGATTGTAATCTAATTCCAGCGGCTTAAATCAGATTTCTGACGCAGCGCCTAAAGCGAAAGTCACTACAACGGCCTACTGACATATGCGTTAAATCGACAATTCGCAATACATCAATTTATCGCCCAGTCCTAACTATCCTCCAATTAAAAAAATTTTTTGTACAAATGTAAAAGGTATACATATTAGAAAATAGGTACTAAATAAAAGTTGAATTACAATAAAATATAAATGTTACTAGAAGGAAAAAAAATTAAAAATAATGAAACTGCCCCTCAGAGAGAACATATAACGAGTACTTTATTAAATCCAATGGAAATTTAAATTTTTGGCTCTTTGGACATAAATGATTGTATAAAAGTTAGCTTTCTTATATTAACGTTCTGAAAAGTAACGTTCATTTTGCGAAAAAACTTCGCCAAGAGTAAAAAAAATCTCCTAATAGTCGTCTATTCCTGAAAATAGCTGCTTTTTTTGCCTCTAAAGTTTGCTTTCTTTTATTAACGTTCTGAAAAGTAGCGTTCATTTTTGCGAAAAACTTCGTCAAGAGTAAAAAAAGTCTCCTAATAGTTGCCTATTCCTGAAAATAGTTGCTTTTTTAGCCTTTTCCGGCAAAAAAAGTCACCATAGTCGCCTATGGCTGAAAATAGTAGCAAATAGTCGCATTTTAGTCGCCTGTGGCAACCCTGCATTATTACTTTTTAACTCTTGAATCTTTATTTTAGCAATCAAATAAATTTTCAGGGGTGCCCCTACTTTATTTCTGCAAAGAACAAAAATATGTATAACTTTGATTAGTTAAACAACAATTTTCTGGTTACATCTTACCTACATCAATTAGATTCACTATTAGAAATATTTTGTGAAAAATTATTTTTAGAAAATAAAATTAACACTGTGAAAAAAAATAAATTACTTTATGCATTACTGACATACAAAGGGATGAGGTTTTGCTCAAACTAAAATAATTTTCACTTTGTTGATCAATTCCATTTGGGCTGTTGAGCTCAAACTTAATGTAATTGAATATTTGCTCAAATATAACTAGATATTTTTTAAAAAATTAATTGTTATACAAGAATTAATTGAAGGTGGAAATGTTTTCTTAATTTTTATAATTTTTTAATTACATTTCTTCATAATATAGCATATTTTCATATAGTGTGTACTAATTAGCAATACTCTCTTTGGGTGTTAATCTTATGATAATTTAAAAATATTTATAAATAGGATGAAATATGTAATCACTGTATACAGTTTTTTCTATTAAAAAAAATCATTTGTTTAAACAGCATAATTATTATATGATTATCATATCACAATAAATATTTATCTTGATATTATAAAAAATTTTAAGCTCAAATATGAGTAATAAATTAAAATTTTTTCTTTAGCTATTCAGTTTCATTTTACAAAATTAATATTTTGATTTCCTCAATCTAACTATAGTGGAAACACCAAACAGAATATATTCATAACTATCGAAACACTTGTAACTAGATTATTATCTGAATTCATAAATTTGCTCGCAGTTTTAAAGTTTTGTATCCTTATGTTTACTAACAATGTCCTTATTGTCAAATAATAATGTTCATTTTATATTGTTTGAAATATGACAAAAAAGAAACTAAATACGTCATAACATAACCAAATGAATCAAACACATTAAAAGTTTTTCGAATAACTGACTGGCATCTTTTTAGTCAGTAAATGTTATGTAAAATTTCTCGAAGTGAAATAATAAGCTAAATAAAATAAAAATGAAATTATTTTCTCTAAATTTATATGAAGTTTGTTAGAAGAGTATAAAACATATTTCTTTATATATTAGCTTTCCCTACTTAAATTTATTTATATATAATGATTTTTGAGCGAAATGTATTCGTTTCATGTACTTATTCGTTCACGTTTCTTCACCTTTTCGCGCTTAGAATTAAAAATAAAAGTACATTATATATGTAGTTTGTAACGCATTTTTATTAATAGATATATATATATAAACTGTAGATTTTGACTTACTCTTAAAATTGTAAATAAAATTTATTTACTTTGTTCATTACTATTACTAATAGAAAGGGACGAAAACAATATTTTTTTACACACACTTGAAAATCAGCTTGGAACGGTCCTGATTCCTGAAATTGAAAACAGTTTCTAGATTTCACTGATACTTACTTTTGCTATTACAATAGAGTTTTAAGTTAGGCATCTCTGAATTTTTAGTCCATTTCATGATAATGTAGCAAATATTTTTACACCCATTCATTGCTAAATCACTAGAACGTAAACAATGAATGCATGTGAAATTTAAAAGATTTTATTACCGGTAATTCAAACTTAAATTAAAAGTAAAATGAATTTGTCAAGTTACTAATTTACTAAAATATGTAAACAATTGCACTTAAATGGTTACGAGAGCAGTCCAAAAAAGTTTCGCAAACTAAAGAAGTTGCTTATAGCTCTGTTGTAATAAAGTCTTTACTGTTTATTTTTGTACATTTAAAGAATTAGAGAACATCCCTTCTTTTGGTGTTTTTGGAGTTCATTTCATGAGACCTTTTTTTTTTGTAATTGACTGGAGTAATTGGTTTTTTTTTTGTTATTGACTGAGTGCTATTTGTTAACATAATTGAATTGAATTGATTGAAATGGGCTACGTCCCGCAGTGGAGTGATCGTTCGGAGCCGTGTCCGAAGTTCGGACACGGTTCCCAGCAGATCACCGAAGTCAAGCATCACTGGCTGCTGTCAGTGGGAGGGTGGGGGACCACTTGGATTAGTCTGCGCAGATACTGGTCCTCGTTAAACTGTTCTACTGTAAAGTGATCGACTTCTCTTGGAGATCGAAGGCCTACCGAAGCAAGGGTGCCATCTCCTCTGCGGAGGATCAAAATTGTGATGGAAAGTCTTTGGCTTATCCTCAAGGATGCTTCCCACACCGTCACCAATAGCTTATTGTGCAGATCTAGTGCGACGTGAATGAACAACAACATAAAAAATAATTATAGAAACAAATCGATTTTAATGCAAAAGGAATTGAAAACTGCTTTTTTTGGAAATACACAAAGAAAACTGGGTGGAGCCTCTCAGGGGCGTACGCAGAATTTTTTCAAGGGGGGTGTTCATAATTTTCTGAAACTACTAAAAGAAATTCTAGTCTGTAATAAAACACTATTATTTCCCTAATTTAGACAGCTAGACAATATTGACTTTTTGACAACATTTAACCAACATTGTTTAGTTAAATTTTGATTTGATTTTTTAAGTTTAAGAACATAATGTAATATCTTCTGAAAAAAGTCCAATGTCATATGGCTGGGAAGTAACACTTTGAGGGCCACTTTCACATTCATCAGATTTTGTTATGCTAGAAACGTNACATTGTTTAGTTAAATTTTGATTTGATTTTTTAAGTTTAAGAACATAATGTAATATCTTCTGCAAAAAATCCAATGTCATATGGGTGGGAAGTAACACTTTGAGGGCCACTTTCACATTCATCAGATTTTGTTATGCTAGAAACGTTTTCTTCAACAGAAGTATCACATTTCCGTACAACAGAAAAACTTAGATTGGTACTAGATGCTGTCGCCTCACTAATTTCAAGTCGTGATTTTTTCTCAAAGTAATTAAAAATTGTTAAATACTTGCCTTTTGACATCCTAAAGATCCAAGAACAGCAAANTATGTATATATATAGAAAAAAAAAGTTGGCATAAGGCTCATAAAAATATATTGTCTTACAAAATAATAGCTCGCATAATTTCTACTAAAAAAAATTTTTTTGCCATTTTGTCGGAGCTCAAGGGGGGTGTTTAAACCCCTAAAACGCAATGTTCATTTCAGTGCGGTCGAGATAAAGCATGTTATAACATCTTAGCTCGTTTAATTGAAACAGTGAGTAATTTTTTTTATCACTTACTTCGCTTTATTGTCTGCTGTAAGCTGTCAAATCCAATGTATGAGTAAGACACTTTCGCGCCCGGGGCGATACTAAAAGTGGTACCTAAATATTGGAAAATAAATATTCAAAAAACAAAAACAAAAAAACTTTGAATTGTCCTTTTGGTGTTGTCAGGACGCTGTAGAGAAATGCTTTCTTATTTTAAATTACAAGAATGGTAGGGAACAGTTGGAGACACTGCTAACTGATTGATTTTCTGTTTATATTTCCACTGTTGACATTCCATTTAATGTTTCTCTGCTCCAATTGTTTTTAATTCTCTTTAAATTTGTTATTATTCCTTGCGGGTCTGTGCGGGGTGTTTTTACACTGCAGAAAAATATGAATACTAAAATGCTAAATTGGGAAACATGTGAACAAGATAAACTTCAATTAATGCATTCGAAGCTATAAAAGGAAACCGTTTAATCAAGGAGAATATCATCTCAAGTATATTCTAGAATTAATATTTAATATAGGTAATATTTTTAATGAGCATTAACTCTTATGACATACAGATATGCAAGCATACATATTAAAATCTATATTTTTCGTGCTTTAGCAGATTGCAAACAATTTTATAAACTCCACAAAACCAGTTGTTTTTGCGGCATTTTCGATATACATTATTGTTGTAATTTGCATTTAATAGAACGTCATTTTGTTGAAAATTATTTTAAAGAGAAAAATTTCTTGTAAAACAATAATTTATAGGTTTGTAAATATTTTTTATGCATTTATAAACTCATTCCTTCATCCGACTATTCACTAAAATGTCCTTCAATGATTATATAATTATATAAAAAAAAATTCACTGCTATGTATTGCTAATTCGTTGTTAATACACCTATTCACTGATCGATTGTTTGGCATCCATTTATTCCTTCTTTTTACTTTATTCACTCGCTGTATCTAAAATTGTTTTCGATGACAGTTTTCAGTCGATAAGCGCACTCGTAATAAATTGTTTATGAACAATACTTTCCTAAAAACAACCATTTAAAATAACTTAACAATGACTGCGTACCCATGTCAAAATTCTTGATGGTCCTATCAAAAAAGTTTGGTTTTTGAGGGTTTATGTTGGTTTCAGTGCAATTCATGAACATAATTTAATGGTCACCATCATTCAACATTTTCCACTATGTGTTCATGGTTTTTGATATGCCAATAAACTTCCATCATTCCATGACGGAAATGCTACTTTTAAACTCTGATGGTTAACCATCAAGAGAAGTTTCACTCTCATGGACCAACAATCCTTGATAATCCGTAATGGTTCCAACTATACATTTCCATGATGGTTTAATGAGAATTCGTGTTGGTTCTGAGGAACCATCAAAACAATTTTTTTTAAATGTTGGACCATCATAAATCAGTTCGAATTCCTACATTGCGATGGTGGTTGTTCATGATCGCTCCAACATTTGATTTGTAAGATACTATGATGAAAATTTGGGATGGTTCAACATGAAGAAACCATCAAGACAAGTTGCTATACTTATGTTGGACCATCATAAATCAGTCCGAATTCCTACATTGCGATGGTGGTTGTTCATGATCGCTCCAACATTTGATTTGTAAGATACTAGGATGGAAATTTGGGATGGTTCAACATGACGAAACCATCAAGACAAGTTGCTATTCTTATGTTGGATCATCATAAATCAGTTCGAATTCCTACATTGATGTAATGATTACTTATGTTGGTTACCATCAAAAATTATAATGGTTCATGATGCCATAATTGATGGTTACCATCAAGATTATGTTGGTCCATCAATGGAAAAATATCAAAAATTTTGTCTTAGGTATAAAACACATTAATCAAAAACGAACAGTCGTCATAGCATTATTAAAATATTGTATGATTATTCCAACGAAACAACTTTCGAGAAAGATAAGACATTCTCTTCTCAATCTAATATTGGTATATACAACTATATTTAAAAATAAATAAATAAAAGCAGCGTGCTACACTAAATGCATCTATAATAAACATTTAGATAAATCAGATGATTAAAGAAATAATCGAGCCAATTACTCGCAAATATTTTGAGAGGAAGAAAAAAAAGCCTTTCTTTAGTTCCCAGAAAAATCTTTTAATAATTATTTTAAATATGTAGAAAAGAACAAACTTTCTAAAACCGGAAGAAATTTAGGAAACTTCCGGTGTATCCTTCCGCTTATGTAAAAGAGGTGATGTGTGAACAGGCTTGATATTCTAGGAAGTTTTATCATAGCGATTTTTTATCCATTTTACGCGAAATTTAACCATTGATAAGAGTTTTCTGTAATTTATAAATTCTAACAAGTCGAGAAGCCGAAAACAAATTTAAAAAAAAAAAATTAATATCACATCAATAATATAGTGTAAGGTTTGCCACGTTTTGAGAGTTATCCTTTATTTGGCTGTAATTGTGTAAAATATCGCCAGTTGTTATATTTTGTGTTGTATCATAGCGTGCTTGCGAGATCTTTCAAAAACATTTGTTATTTGTTTTATCGTTAAATTGAAAGAATTGAAAGAACACGTAATTGAAAGAAATTAATTGAATGAAGTTAAATTTAAAGAACGCGTAATATTGTGAACATTGCAAGTATAATAATAATGAATGGCAAGCCGTGGAGGCTTAGGGGATAGAGCACTCGCCTCCCAATGAGTTGACCCGGGTTCGAATCCCTGGTTGATTCGAATTCCGCACTGGGCTCGCACCAACGACAGTGCTGACGTAAAATATCCTCATTGGTAGACGAATCATGGGTTAGAATCCCCATGCCTAACCGTGGGAGAATTTCGTGGTTTTCCTCTCCATGTAACGCAAATGCTGGTTAGTTCCATCAAAAAGTTCCCCACGAACAAAGGTAAATTTCTCCCAATACTTGATCCAGGAGTTCCCTTGTCTTCTAGATTGGGTTCAGAATGACAAGGCGACGAAGTTGAACGTTAGTAGTTGAAATCTAAAAATTTGATCGGCTGTTCAACGACGGTTATAAAATTGTAAAAAATGTATAATAATATTGAATGGCTAGCCGTGTTGGCTTAGGAGATGAAGCGCTCGCCACGCAATGTGGTGACCCGGGTTCGAATCCCTGGTTGATTCGAATTCCCCGGCTCGAACCGACGGCAGTGATGTCGTAAAATATGCGCATTAGTAGACGGATTATGGGTTCGAGTCCCCTTGCAGCTAGAATAACCGCTGGAGATCTTCGTGGTTTTCCTCTCCACGTAAAGCGAATGCGGGTAAGTTCCATCAAAAAGTTCCCCACGAAGGCAACATTTCTCAAAATACTTTATCCAGGAGTTCTCTTGTCTTCTGGAATGGGTTCAAAATTACAAGGATATGGAGGTGAACATAAGCAGTGAACGAAAATCGTAAATTGGGTCGTCTGCTGATCGACGGTTACAAAAAAAAATTTAAAATATTGAATGGCGTGATGTTCTTAGCTTATGCGTTAAAAACAATCGGAAGTAATAACCCAGAAGTCTTACGGCGAATTCTAACCCCTACTGCCATCTGTGCTTAGCTTTG